CCCGATCGAATGTACCACATATTCCAGCAGAGAGTTATTTTTATATATTTTTATTATATGAATGTATTGTTAATTGTAGTAGATACTTACATCACTGTATCCCAGAACGCAGAACTGATAACATCCAAACATGTAATTAGTACACAGAGAATTGTTACATAGCATTTCCAGTAAAAACCCTTCTTGAACAGAGCCAACATGTATATATGCTCCAATCGATGCAACTGTGTGTCCACATGTACAGTCTCAGCTGGCTAACGTCACATCTTCCATCAAGTCAGATCTATTTTTCAAGCATAGTTTAATTTCCGAAGACATTTTGAATGGAAGGAATTAAAACTCAATTCGTTACATAATCATATTAAACAAACCTATACGTGTATTTTGCCAAATTAAAAAAGATTATACACCCGTTCTACTTATATATCTTATATCACATATGATCTTAACTGCGCAATATTTATTCAGGATAATCAATTAGTCTCGTTCCTAATTCGAATGAGCACATTCTGACTCTAAATCTGCATAATGACAGACATAATTCTTCTTAGTACAATGCACTATCATTTCTTCCCCTTCAATCTATTGTACTTAACATTTGAAGTCACTGTAAAGTTTCAAGAAGTACTGTAGTGAGTGAGTTTGGTTTAACGCCGCTTTTAACAATATTCCAGTTATATCGCGGCGTGTCATCTTAATGTGGGAGGAAAGCCCGAAGTGATGCAGGTCTCGGACGTTTACCCCTTCGGTGAAACCCAGGAGCACGGGTATGGTGCTGACAAACCTAGAATCATAATCGGGGCGAACCGGGATTCGAACCCACAATCATAGGTTTCTGGCGTGCCCAAGGGACGCAACTCTGCACAGTGAATCGCGGCGCCTTAGACGACTGGGCCACCCATGCGCCCTGTAATGGTGTGGTATTATGAATGAAATTAGAATATAAATAGTGAAAAAACAGTAACCATATGGAATGAATGAATGAATAATCTTTATTTCCTCCATAAGTATTGGAGAGTACAAACATGGAAATTAATTAATCAGTGTGTACATGCATGATAACAGATATGTATATAGTTAGGATACAACTAGAGAATAGACGTCAGCTGTCATGAGCTTATTTCTTTGGTGACAGCGTAAATTTGTCAACACAACTGGAAGTATTCTGATGCTACCGTGCATGCGCAGAAACTGTGCAAGGGGTCCAGCGGAAATAGCCGAGTGGCCACTCCCTAAACATAGACTCACCATTGTCATACCTACAGGTTCAAGGTCAGTGTGAAATGGTCACAACAACCCGTCGAGTAGAGATCACTCACGAATGATTCAGTATGGATTTGGGGTCCAGCACAAGATACTGCATTCACAGCAGTTAAAGACACGTTAACATGTAGTCAAGTACACATATTTCTATGATTCTATGATCCAGCTTTACCAGTAGTGGCCAGTGCTGATGACAGTAGTCACGCCATAGCTGGAGTACTGCTTCAAGTACATGGTGATGTATTACGTTCTTCTGTTCACGCACCCTAACGGCCGGCCTTACATCATTCAAGCTTCAGATGGATCATAAACCGTTGATCAACTGCCATGATCTCAATGCTTGCTTAAGAGATTTTAACGTTTCAATACCAATGCTGACTATCTACCAGACAAGAATTTCCTTGTACCAGACACACTGTCAAGAGTGAGTGAGTGAGTGAGTGAGGTTTATCGAACCCAGGTCCTCAGCGTGAAGAGCGAACGCTTTAACCACTAGGCTACCCGACCGCTGAGTGAGTGAGAGTGAAGTAGCGATGTATAGGTTTCATGTGGGAAGAAATCCCAAAGTGACGTTTACCGCTTAGATGAAAATAAGAGCGACAAAACCCTTTTCATTTCCATAAGATATCTCTGCTAAAAGCAGAGTCGATTGTACGATTCCATGTGTTTATGAACCCACACACACTTATATAGTGCCTACAATGCCAGGACAAAACTCAGTACAATCCGAACACTCGATCAACAGATTAAACTATTTGTGTATATGCCCAATTTTTTATATTTTTAACATATACAGTAAAGTACGGTTATAACGAACTCAAAGGGACTACTAATTTTATTTCGTTTTAACCGTAGTTCGTTATAAGCATATATACAGCATAACTAAAGCAAATAGTCGGGACCAAAAAAGTAGTTCGTTATATCCGTCAGGTCGTTAAAAGCGTGTTCGTTATAACCGTAGTTTACTGTACATTAATTTTTAATTTCCATCAGACTAACAATCATTTTCTTGTTTTGTATATTTGTGTTTGACAGACGTTAACATAGGTACAATACGATGTCATGTTGTAATAAAACCAAGATGTCTGTCATCCTGACTATACTGTAGGTGATACTGAAATTCCCAATAGCTGTCGTCCCTGTCGTGCACTAGGGAGCAGCGTTCTAGCGTCAACACCATCATACCATCAAGTTGTTGCGGCACCACGCAATACATCAGCTTTTTGGCAATCCCAAACTGTATGTGTCCCCCAAGAGGACCTGGATTCAGTTGCCACTGCCCTTCTTTACCAGCGTTACAAGAACACAAAGTTTCTCTTAAGATCAACTTCCCAGTTGTTGGAACAATGCATTTTCCGTCAAGTAGAAACTGGCCATATTTGTCAATAGTGAATTGATTCTCAGGAAGGATTCTATGTCGAAAGCATCTATAGGAGAGAGTCAGTACACCGCCAGATGTCGCCGTTATACATGAATGGGTTAAAGCGTTTTCAATCTCACCATAATTAACAGCATCTTTAGTTGGAATTTTCATGTCAGGTGTTATTACCTTCAGGAACCATCTGAAACTTTTTGATCTTAGACGCTGACGTAAACGCTTTCTCTCTTTAATAGAGTCTAGATCGGATACGGTAAATTCTGGCATTATTGCTTCATATCGCTGAGTAGCGAGAAATATTTCCTTGTAGTCGTCCATCCACACCTCTGCAACTCGCATCAAATTTTTACGTAATATGTTTTGAAAATCTTCCTGGAAGCGAAACGGCCCGGATTTGAAAACATGTCCGACCTTTGAGCAAGGAACTGTGAGTATTCTTCCTCCGGTCATCCATGTCTTGAAGGAGAGTTCCAGGTGCTCGCCACCACGCAGAACTGATAACATCCACACATGTAATTAGTACACAGAGTGAGTGAGTGAGTATGGTTTTACGCCGCTTTTAGCAATATTCCAGCAATATCACGGCGGGGGACACCAGAAATGGGCTTCACACATTGTACCCATGTCGGGAATCGAACCCGGGTCTTCGGCGTGACAAGCGAAAGCCTTAACCACTAGGCTACCCGACCGCCCCCATTATTAGTACACAGAGAATTGTTACATAGCATTTCCTGTACAGCCCTGCTTGAACAGAGCCCACATGTATATATGCTCCAATCGATGCAACTGTGTGTCCACATGTACAGTCTCAGCTGGCTAACGTCACATCTTCCATCAAGTCAGATCTATTCTCCAAGCATAGTTTAAATTCCGAAGACATTTTGAATGAAAGGAATTAAAACAAAATTCGTTACATAATCATATTTAACAAACCTATACGTGTATTTTGCCAAATTAAAAAAGATTATACACCCGTTCTACTTATATATCTTATATCACATATGATCTTAACTGCGCAATATTTATTCAGGATAATCAATTAGTCTCGTTCCTAATTCGAATGAGCACATTCTGACTCTAAATCTGCATAATGACAGACATAATTCTTCTTAGTACAATGCACTATCATTTCTTCCCCTTCAATCTATTGTACTTAACATTTGAAGTCACTGTAAAGTTTCAAGAAGTACTGTAGTGAGTGAGTTTGGTTTAACGCCGCTTTTAACAATATTCCAGTTATATCGCGGCGTGTCATCTTAATGTGGGAGGAAAGCCTGAAGTGATGCAGGTCTCAGACGTTTACCCCTTCGGTGAAACCCAGGAGCACGGGTATGGTGCTGACAAACCTAGAATCATAATCGGGGCGAACCGGGATTCGAACCCACAATCATAGGTTTCTGGCGTGCCCAAGGGACGCAACTCTGCACAGTGAATCGCGGCGCCTTAGACGACTGGGCCACCCATGCGCCCTGTAATGGTGTGGTATTATGAATGAAATTAGAATATAAATAGTGAAAAAACAGTAACCATATGGAATGAATGAATGAATAATCTTTATTTCCTCCATAATTATTGGAGAGTACAAACATGGAAATTAATTAATCAGTGTGTACATGCATGATAACAGATATGTATATAGTTAGGATACAACTAGAGAATAGACGTCAGCTGTCATGAGCTTATTTCTTTGGTGACAGCGTAAATTTGTCAACACAACTGGAAGTATTCTGATGCTACCGTGCATGCGCAGAAACTGTGCAAGGGATCCAGCGGAAATAGCCGAGTGCCCACTCCCTAAACATAGACTCACCATGGTCATACCTACAGGTTCAAGGTCAGTGTGAAATGGTCACAACAACCCGTCGAGTAGAGATCACTCACGAATGATTCAGTATGGATTTGGGGTCCAGCACAAGATACTGCATTCACAGCAGTTAAAGACACGTTAACAAGTAGTCAAGTACACGTATTCTATGATTCTATGATCCAGCTTTACCAGTAGTGGCCAGTGCTGATGACAGTAGTCACGCCATAGCTGGAGTACTGCTTCAAGTACATGGTGATGTATTACGTTCTTCTGTTCACGCACCCTAACGGCCTTACATCATTCAAGCTTCAGACGGATCATAAATCGTTGATCAACTGCCATGATCTCAATGCTTGCTTAAGAGACTTTAACGTTTCAATACCAATGCTGAATATCTACCAGACAAGAATTTCCTTGTACCAGACACACTGCCAAGAGTGAGTGAGTGAGGTTTTACGCCGCTTTTAGCAATATTCCAGCAATATCACGGCGGGGGACACCAGAAATGGGCTTCACACATTGTACCCATGTCGGGAATCGAACCCGGGTCTTCGGCGTGACGAGCGAACGCTTTAACCACTAGGCTACCCGACCGCCCCTACGACTGTCGTAAGGTATTGGAGTTACGAGCACATTAGCGCTAAGATCGCTTTGTACAACGGCACCATGGCCGTGATCTACCTTCACAAGTTCGTGCATACCACCAGATACGCACTGATGTCTCAGTCGATAATCATCTCTTGATATTCAGGGATCGCATCGTTGTGCCAGCACAGTTGAGAGCTAAGATTGTGGATCAAATCTATCTAGGGCACCAGGGCATTAACAAATGCATATAGAGAGAGAGAGCCACTACAAGTGTATCGATGCCTGGCATTCAAGTGATATAAACGCAAACGTTTCACAGTGTGCTGGTATACACGCAACGTTTGGAATTAAGATTTGATAAGATTTGTGGGCTAGAAAGGGAAAATAGTAGGATATGTACGGTACATGGTCTGTGGATCCACATCGGTAGACCAGTTAGTCTGGAGTTTCAAAAAACACAGTGTACCGAGAGTTAGAGGTATGCTACAGCAGTTAATATTCTGAACAGCAAAATTTACCTTATTTCTCGTTTATGACGCTAGTCTGTATCCACATTTAATGATGACGTGCATTTCCTTTTGCCTTTTCTGATAAACGGCACCCAGAAATGTGGATCCAACAATCTCGATACTAGCGCCATGCCAAGATTGACGAAGAATCAGAGAAACCAGGCTTTAGTTCGTTTGTCGTTTAACGCCGAACTCAGCAATATTCTAGCTATGTGGCGGCGGTCTGTAAGTAATCAGGTCGCCCGAGAAGTTCCGGGGTAGAATATGTCTTCAGCAACCCATGGTTGCCGTAAAAGGCGACTTTGCTTGTCAGCATGAGATTAGAATAATTGAATGTCGTTGAATGTTTCTAACATAAGAGGCGACTAGCGGGATAGGTAGGTCAGGCTCGCTGACTTGGTTGTATCACGTCATCGTATCGCAATTGCGTGGTTTGATGCTCCTGATATCAATCACTGGATTGTCTGGTGGAAACTCGAGTATTTACAGACCGCCGTCATGTTGCTGGAATAGTGCGGCGTTAAACAACAAACAAACTCACACCAAAAGATACTAAGAGATGTTAGTCAGGGTAATGTAATGGGTATACAAGTTCAGTAGGTAGGCCTGCACAATAACACCAGCATAAATACGGACTGGCTGGTACAAACAGCCACACACGCACTAGAATGCTCGTCACGATTTGGGTGCCATAATCTTGAACACAGCCTTAAACCCTAGTGAGTGAGTGAGGATAGTTTTACGCCGCTTTTAGCAATATTCCAGCAATACACGGCGGGGGGACACCAGAAATGGGCTTCACACATTGCACCCATGTCGGGAATCGAACCCAGGAACGCTTTAACCACTAGGCTACCCGACCGCCGAGTGAGTGAGAGTGAAGTAGCGATGTATAGGTTTCATGTGGGAAGAAATCCCAAAGTGACGTTTACCGCTTAGATGAAAATAAGAGCGACAAAACCCTTTTCATTTCCATAAGATATCTCTGCTAAAAGCAGAGTCGATTGTACGATTCCATGTGTTTATGAACCCACACACACTAATATAGTGCCTACAATGCCAGGACAAAACTCAGTACAATCCGAACACTCGATCAACGGATTAAACTATTTGTGTATATGCCCATTTTTTTATATTTTTAACATATACAGTAAAGTACGGTTATAACGAACTCAAAGGGACTACTAATTTTATTTCGTTTTAACCGTAGTTCGTTATAAGCATATATACAGCATAACCTAAGCAAATAGTCGGGACCAAAAAAGTAGTTCGTTATATCCGTCAGGTCGTTATAAGCGTGTTCGTTATAACCGTAGTTTACTGTACATTAATTTTTAACTTCCATCAGACTAACAATCATTTTCTTGTTTTGTATATTTGTGTTTGACAGACGTTAACATAGGTACAATACGATGTCATGTCGTAATAAAACCAAGATGTCTGTCATCCTGACTATACTGTAGGTGATACTGAAATTCCCAATAGCTGTCGTCCCTGTCGTGCACTAGGGAGCAGCGTTCTAGCGTCAACACCATCATACCATCAAGTTGTTGCGGCACCACGCAATACATCAGCTTTTTGGCAATCCCAAACTGTATGTGTCCCCCAAGAGGACCTGGATTCAGTTGCCACTGCCCTTCTTTACTAGCGTTACAAGAACACAAAGTTTCTCTTAAGATCAACTTCCCAGTTGTTGGAACAATGCATTTTCCGTCATGTAGAAACTGGCCATATTTGTCAATAGTGAATTGATTCTCAGGAAGGATTCTATGTCGAAAGCATCTATAGGAGAGAGTCAGTACACCGCCAGATGTCGCCGTTATACATGAATGGGTTAAAGCGTTTTCAATCTCACCATAATTAACAGCATCTTTAGTTGGAATTTTCATGTCAGGTGTTATTACCTTCAGGAACCATCTGAAACTTTTTGATCTTAGACGCTGACGTAAACGCTTTCTCTCTTTAATAGAGTCTAGATCGGATACGGTAAATTCTGGCATTATTGCTTCATATCGCTGAGTAGCGAGAAATATTTCCTTGTAGTCGTCCATCCACACCTCTGCTACTCGCATCAAATTTTTACGTAATATGTTTTGAAAATCTTCCTGGAAGCGAAACGGCCCGGATTTGAAAACATGTCCGACCTTTGAGCAAGGAACTGTGAGTATTCTTCCTCCGGTCATCCATGTCTTGAAGGAGAGTTCCAGGTGCTCGCCACCCCAGATCTGCAGCTCAGGATCGAATCCGCCAGTTGACATGAAATGTTCCCTCCAGACCGCAATGGCACACCCGACCAATACAGGGGTGGGTATCGGATCTGCCATGGTCCTAAGAACCTGCTGTAAATAGTCGGGCTTGAAAAACCAAGAGTATCTGCAGAGAAAATATAAGATTCCTTTCTGATAACCAACAAAAAACGTTGTAGTCACCGACAAGTTCGGCAAATCGTACAAACCCTATTAAAATATTTAGCTACTGATTATTTTTCAAATTTTCCAGCCATTGAAGAAAAAAGCAGCGTTAAAATGTAGTGTGACCTGTGAGCAATAAATACCACAATAATCTTCTGGTATAGAAGTTGGCTTTTCAAGACAAGATACATACATTCCCAGTCACTGAGGTAGGTATGATATCATAGAGTGTATTGATCATTGGTCATATATACAAAAGCGAAAATATTGTACATTCCACAAAGAAGGGCTTGATACGGACGGGAATGTTTACGCCAATTAATCAATTAAGAGACAATATAACATACAATTAACCTAACTTCTAAGGAGTAGTTCAATCTGATAAACGGTTGGATGGGTCAGTTTGTTGTTACGCTGATTTGATATATCCGTGATATATCAAGGGTGGTCGTCGCAGGATTCTATCAGGATTTTTTTACCACTACAGCTTGCAACAATGTATCTTTTGTGTTAAATTATAAGCACTGCATATATTAAGTAACATTTGTTCATACTTGTTGGTAAGTTTACCACATGAGAAACGTTGTGTGTTTTAACTGTCACACAGAACTCACAATCTTAAATTTATAGATTTTTCATTATGTCATCTTCTCCAAAATCTAACTCAGTTCCTGTTTGGCAATTCAAGTCGCCTCCTAGAATTTGGTTGTTCGTTTTAGCGCCGCGCTCAGCAATATTCCAGCTATATGACGGCGGTCTGTATATAATCGAGTCTGGACCAGACAATCCAGTGATTGACATGAGCATCGATCCACGCAATTGGGATAGGATGACATGCAGCAACCAAGTCAGCGAGCCTGACCACCCGATCACGTTAGTCGCCTCTTACGATAAGCATAGTCACCTTTTACGGCAAGCATTGGTTGCTGAAGACCTATTCTACCCCGGATCTTCACGGGTCCGCCTCCAAGGACATTTGATACATCATCGACTTGTTGTCATAACGAAACTAAACTCGAATCAAACTTACCGTAAATCCCATCCAAATCCACCTACAAAGGTGGTCTCCTTTTCTTCTGAGAAGTTCAATGTTTTGGCATCTACAGAAACAACATCGGGTTGTACTATCGTGGCGGGTCCACCATTCACTAGCTGTTCCAACAAGGGCTCGAGCCACCCTACGTTTACCTCCATGTGGCTGTCTAGGAATACGATTACCTCCCCTTCCGCTACTGAAGCTCCTATCATCCTCGACCGTGACAGACCCTGCCGATGATTATTTCTCATGACCTTTACCCTTGAATCGAGAATCTTGAAATAATCGTCAAGACGTTTATCTAGAAAGGAGTGTTCACTTTTGTCATCCACAATAATTATTTCTTTCAGAAGTTCCTTTGGCGTCCGGGCAAGAAGTGAGTGGACGTGGCGCAAAAGTGTTGAAAGAGCCTCATTATACATCGGTGACACGATGGTTACAGTGGGTAAGGTGGACATGTTGTATCCGGTTTTCTTGCAGTCATCTGGTCGTGTGTCCGGTAGTTGTCGTAAAACGGGTATCTTGTCACTTACATCAACGTTAAAGCCAAAACTATCGGAAGATGATATGTTCTGTGTCTTCAAAAGGTAATGACGTGTTCGTCGTAACAGCTCTTCCTTGTGGCTGGGGCTGGAATCCAACAGTGCCCTGAAGTGCACTTGGGCATTGTCGTTAGTCTTGCCTTGGGCCATAGAGGCGGTTCTTCTGTCAAACGGATAAAATGGTTCAATAATTAAAAAACAATGACAACACAGCAAAACAAAACAATTTATTTCAACTGTGCGTCGTTATCTTTCGTGCGCCGTTGTTGGTGTTGATTAAGCGTCACTGCTAACTCATTTATTCTACATGTGGCATCGTCCCCCCAGCAACACTGAAGCGAATTTGATCTTATGAAACGAGGCTCTTCTGTTGGTGATATTTGTAATTCAAATATTTTGAGTATGTTTTTAGAGTCATCCCAGATTCATCCAGGGCTTCGACCCCACACCACGTTATTACACATATGGTTGTTCCATGGATGAGTAATATATGATGGGTACCCGGTAGAAAGAGCTGAGAATGTAATATGAAAGAACTCTGATCCAACGACAGGGTAACAATTGTGTCACAAAATGAGCATGCTTTGAAAAATGGATATGGGGCAATGCGATTTATTATTGTCATTATTATTATTATTATTATTATTATTATTATTATTATTATTATTATTATTATTATTATCAGAAGTAGTAGTAGTAGTAGTAGTAGTAGTAGTAGTAGTAGTAGTATATCTGTTCGGATATACAAATAGCGGCTCTCATCGAGTTGGTTCCCAGCATGAAATAGCAACATTAAAAACCAATTCATAAATATATCTGTTTATGGCAAAAAATTAAAACAATGCTGCACAATCACCGGTTAAGTTGTGTCAACATTAGTTTCCGTATCTCGCTCTTACCTTTTTTGTTGGGGTCGATCTTTTTCTCTGTTCGATCCAGTCGTCAAAAATAGACATAAACAGAGTATGTAAAACGCAAACCAAAAAACAACAAAACTCGTCCACAAAAATATTGACCGCTGCCGAGCCATCGTTCAGCGAATCAATTACACATGTAGATATATAGCGTCAATGCAAGAGAATATACAGTCTGTAAACAATCTGTCCGCCTGCAGTTACCCTACCACTGTTTCGTGCTGGTGCATGATCGCTGTGATATGTAATTGCCCCCGTCTGTGAACATGAAGGTGTTTAATTTATGTTATCATCCAAAACTGGCTCCCACAGGAGATACCACTTGGGTGAGATCAAGCGATATCTACACTGTAGATATCGCTACAATGAAATTGCACCACAATGCTTTGCAGACCATTGTGACGTCATTGTTACCATGACGTCACAATCAAATGACATCACTAATGGCTCTGATACTTATTACTTACTACAAACTAAAAAAGTTGGAAGAATGATGTTGGATGATAAACAAAATCTCACCCGAGTGTCTTTTGATATCATATATATCAACGAGTGTTGATATATTTGATATCAAAAGACACTCGGGTGAGATTCTCTATTTATCTACGACAGTTTCACCTGCACAATATAGTAAAGTGGTCGGATTAATAGTACTGGTTGTTGTCTCCGATTGGTAAATAATTTGTTTTGTGAAACTGGAGGCTAACTTAATTCTGTCCGGCATTTTCTGGAACAAAACGTTGTTTTTTTTCAAACTGTAAAACGAATTATGTTAATAGGTTTAAGATCTAAACATGTTTAGAAACAAAATATACGTCATTTAGAGTCATGATTAACATGTGTTACAGTTTCATCAAGACTAGTATTTAGTACAGTAGCTCAGCTTTGATGGAGAAGGCAAATAACAAATACAATTATTACAACAGAATACGCTGACGTGATATCGCCGGAGTGGCGTATAATAATAAGAATACAAAAAAATCGTCGTTTTCTTCACTTATATAATCTCTGCACTTGTACACAGCAGAAAATTAACATATCGTTTTCAGTTTCAACAAAATCTGTAAATGCGCTATTGTGTCACTTGATTGTCTGGTTTGTTTCCTGGAAGGATCACTGAAAATCAGTGATGACACCAGGTGTTCGGGGGCACGGGTGGCCCAGTCGTCTAAGGCGCCGCGATTCGCTATGCAGAGTTGCGTCCCTTTGGCACGCCAGAAACCTATGATTGTGGGTTCGAATCCCGGTTCGCCCCAATTAGGTTTCTAGATTTGTCAGCACCATACCCGCGCTCGTGGGTTTCACCGAAGTGGTAAACGTTTCCTCCCACATTAAGCTGACACGCCGCGAAATAACTGGAATACTGTTAAAAGCGGCTTTAAACCCAACTCACTCACCAGGTGTTCGCGAGAAGAGTAACCACGTCCTAGCAGCAGCCGCCACTAAGAAAATGTGTACGCTACACTAAGTAGCTTTACTGCTTAACGCCGCACTGCAGGATTTCTGTCATAAGACGGTGACCTGCTTATACATTTTCCCCAGCTATTTTGCCTTTTTACAATAGAATCTGTTTGGTGGATAATCGAGGCTGGTTATTGTCTGACGTTAACGTTCTGTTATTTGAATGAAAATAAATCCACATCAGGAGTGAGCAGGAAATATGCAAAGGTAGATCAAATGTCCCTTTTCAATTAAATGAAGAGATTTTAATAAGTGATCGATTTGGGTATGATCAGCTTTGACCAACGAAATCAGCTATGAGAGTGTGTTTATTACGGTAAAGGGGGCCAACGGCCCATTATACATGAAACTTGATTTAATAAGCGCTGAAGCGCCATATAATATGATTACAGTTTCTGTTTATGCAAATATTAAATGATGGACATCCATATTATGCAAAATATTTACTACGTTTCTTTAAAGTTAAAAAGATAAATTTAGCCCAATTATTTATGACCGTGATTTTCTGTGATGTGAATAATAAAATAAGCTTATTGTTCGATGGGAATTTATAATAAAATTCTAGAATAAGACTTTCTCTTAAGTCCTGATAACATGGACATTCAAGACAAAAATGTAGTTTTGATTCAATATTAGGTATTACACAAAAGGGCTATGAGTAATTATGAAACGCCAACGCCAGCGAATAACCAGTCTCGATTTGTAAGGAAAGAAATGTTGTGAATTGTGTGACAGCATTTTGAAGTGACCAATCACTTAAACATATTATGGGATAAAATATGCTGTGTGAACTATGAGCCATGCATTAAATACGTCCAACAAATACGTCCTCAAAGCAGTTATCTTAATGGTAATTTTATTCACATCCACTTAAACACTCACATGTGACTGTTGAAGCACTTTCTAACCTTCGTCCCACTAAACTGTCATTCTTTAACATATAAAAACCATAACAACATGCGAAAGTAAACAGATCTATCGCGACACAAATTTGATTACACCTGATTATAAGACATGAAAGATATAAAATCAGATCACTTTGAGTGAGTGAGTGAGTTTGGTTTTACGCCGCTTTTAGCAATATTCCAGCAATATCACGGCGGGGGACACCAGAAATGGGCTTCACACATTGTACCCATGTCGGGAATCAAACCCGGATCTTCGGCGTGACGAGCGAACGCTTTAACCACTAGGCTACCCGACCGCTCCAGATCACTTTGAAGACCGGGGTAGAATTGGTCATCAGCAACGTATGCTTGTCAAAAAGGATGACTAGCGGGATCGGGTGGTCAGGCTTACTGACTTGGTTGATGCCACTTCCAGTTGCGTAGATCGATGCACATGATGCCAATGACTGAATTGCCTGTTGCAGACTCGATAATTTACAATTCGCCGCCATAAACCTGGAATATTGCTGAGTGCGGCTTTAAACATACGACAATCATCTGATTACCTGTTCGAGTGAAACCGCCCAGGTGGAGATAGCAGGTGGAGACACTATTAATCAAACCACTATTCTATACGACACAGCTGCAGCTGTTATAGATAATATTAATTAAACACATTTCTGTTCACCGATAGAGACGATTGTTAAAACTGCGTTCCAGCATACTTAAGCTTGCAGAGGTTGGAGGTGAGGTGAGGTGAGGTGAAATGGGGTTTAACGTCGCGTCCAAGATTATTGCACTTATATAGCGACGTGTGTGTGTGTGTGTGTGTGTGTGGCTGCTTGTACTTGTCCGGACTGATGCCGATTTATAGTGCTAGCTCACTGAGATACCATGCCGCAGTTTAACATGAATACCCTACTCAGACACAGTATACTGACTCCGAGCAGACCAGTCCTTGTTTTAGCCCCTTAATTCCGAGCGCCAGACATGGTAACAACAAGTACTATCTTTTCACGTCTTTTGGTATGACGCGGCTGGGGATCGAACCCCGGACCTTCCGCTCTCCGGGCGGACGCTCTACCATTAGACCACGGAGGCGGTCTGCTGAGGTTGGACAGCTGAAGGAAAACTACGTGTAACCATTTGACTGTTTGCAGGTGTCACTGGGTAGTTGTCAGATACCCCTGCATGGTAAATATCTTATGTTATGTGTATGTGACCACTGAAGTATACACTCTGTGGTAGAATACGAGCCTCAGTCACTTGGAATGAATGCTTATTGTCTAATAAAGACCACCAGGATCCCAGGATGCCCAAGATTGCTCATGTTTAACGCCGCACTCAGCAATATTCCAGCTATATTACGACGGTCTGTAAATAATCGAGTCGGCACAAGACAGTCCAATTATTGACATCATGAGCATCGATCTTCGCAATTGGGATACGATAACATGCATCAACCAAGTCAGCAAGCCTGACCACTCGATCCCTTTAGTCGCCTTATACTGTAAGAATTGGTTACTGAAGACCTGTTCTAGCCCCGATCTTCACTGGTAGACAAACGTATTTAACAATATAACGTGATTGTTTGTGGAACATGATGATGCCAAAAACGCCACGATGAAAGCACGGGAAACGTCGTCATACAAAAATGCATACGTATAATAGGTAGTCATAAATACATCACTGATAAACATTTATCCATGGTTACCAAACACAATCAGACCCATGAAGATCCGGGATAGAATAGGTCTTCAGCAACCAATTCTTACAGTAAAAGACGACTAAAGGGATCGGGTGGTCAGGCTTGCTGACTTGGTTGATGCATGCCATCGTATCCCAATTGCGTGGATCGATGTTCATGATGTCAATCACTGGATTGTTTGGTCTAGACTTGAATATTTACAGACAACCGTCACTATACCTGGAATGGGGTGTTTAACAACAAGCAAACAAACAAAACAAAACATACAAACATTCACTTGGACAATAGTCAACGAAGCGTACGTAATATATTCTTGCACTAGGTGCCATGTACGGCAAATAGTCTCCCTTCCATTATTGTGGTAGTGGTGCTGAGGCAATGCTGATTCAGTGCGTCTTGATATACTTGATTTCTTTCATAAATGTACAAATCTCCATGTAAAGAAAACATTCACGTCAAAGCAAAATATACACAATGCAATATCCATAGATGTTATCACGCGAGCGTGTTTGGGGATGGTAAATATCCTGTATTAGGAATAAACACAATCTCATTAAAATCAGATCTTAGTTCTCGCTATCGCAAAACAAAGATCTGAGGACATCCCATTACGGGTCACGTCAGAACGACCTCTCATCCAACCAATCAAAGAGTCGCTTACGAGATCGTGAAAGTGACAATCGGAATGTGTTTTCTCATCATGCAACCTCGAAAACCTTAACACGGGGTATTCCGAATGACAGTTACGGCTCGTACGACTGATTCCGTCATATTTATCGTCTGTCTCTCGCTTCCGTGGGTCAAACATTTGAACGGAGGAGGCGTTGCACAGTACATGGGAAATACTGTCATACAATCTCAACCATATATTAGACATTCCGGATTGTTCGTTTGTTCAGTTTTCAAAATTTTAATCGAGAACTGTGCCAACATATTTTTCAAGCGTATTCTGAAATTGAAGTCGCCAGGTTGAAACGAGTGCCGTTTAGCTCGAGAAAGCTGCTTTCTAATTGGCTGATGTCGACTTCTTGTTAGTCATTTCAGTGATCGGTCAAAGTTCGCGAAAGGTCGTTCTGACATGACCCGTAATGGGATGTCCTCAGATCTGTGTTTAGCGGCAGTGAGAACTTAGATCTGATTTTAATGAGATTGGAATAAACATTGTATTTAGCGAGCCTTGGCAATCTAAATACATAGTTTTATTCCTAATACAGGATATATACCATCCCCAAACACACAAGCGTGATAACCTCTTTATCATATAAGTCATTCTTTAATTCTGTGCTTGAAAATCGCTTTCCCTCTCTCACAAACATTACCTAAACAGTTTTCCTCGCATTAATATTTATTACGTCACAGGGAAAGTGGTGTGTCAGTCGGACAGTGACAGTAGCCAATATAGTCCCAACTGAAATCTGTTTCTTATACAGTGGCGAAGCAACATATACGCAAAACAACAATTGTTTTTACTTGCATTTCGCGGCAGTCCATCGGTCTGTCCGCTAGAGTAACTGCCCTTTGTCAAAGGGAAGCTACTCTACCCATAGTCTATGAGACGTCATGGCCACGTTCAGACGTTTTTGACAGTCGGCCTGTCCTGTCAAAACGTCAAGAAGTGCAATCAGATGTACACACAGCGACAAAACGAAACAAGGTAACAATTCAAATATATTTCGGCCAAATCCAACTATTTTATTTGTGGAAAAGGTTTCAAGCCGCAGAGGTCTACAAGCACAGATATGGCAACTGATCCCACTTGGCTAGGCCTAGTGCTCTAGCAAAAATGTTTCGAAATTTATATCTCCAAAGTTGCCAAAACTTGTAAAATGCATTAGCGACGTCACAGTTAGACACTGATTTTAAGTATATTAGATTGTTCTTTTGATAATGATAGCAATTATCTCTGTAGTTTATCCAGATTCCCGATGGTTAATTCTGACTAGTTTGCCGAAAGACAAGGGCGACGCCTATGTTTGTTTATAAACACTAAAAGTAGTCCCTACTTGATATTTGTATCTCTTTCCGCATATGACCCCAACGGATATCGTTTTTATCTGTTGGCTTCATCCTGCCGAGAAACCTACCCATCATATGATAAATTCAATTATCCATACATACCAGGAATTCAAAACAATTATCTTTCTTTACTCTTTTAAGGTTATACACAACAAAGCGCCATGTGTTCATGTTTTTGCAACTTCTAAATGGCGAGCAAAGACATCATACGTCCATTAATTTAAGACGAAAAACTCATGCATGTTAACGTGGGACACGGGTGGCCCAGTTGTCATAGGTTCCGAAATTCGCCATGCAGAGTTGCGTCGCTTGCGTCAGAAACCTTTGATTGTGGGTTTGAATCCGAATTCCCCCAATTATGTTTCTAGGCTTGTCAGCATCATGATGAATGGTTTTCACTATGATGCCTTTTTGTGAATGTAAAGTATTGTACTTAATGCAATCAGGAACAGTGCATTGCATATATGTAGCAACACCACAGACATCCATGATCTTCATGAATAATACCAATGTATGTCACAGCGACCGATTGGGGACGACTTCTGTCTTAATGAACATTTAATTCCAAAGGCTAATTACCCTGTAGCCATGACATGTATATGTCTAGAATCACTTAATTGCCAATCGATGTCTGCATGTCTAAGTGAAGAGCTACAAGAATATTTCAGAATCTTGGATTCACGAATTCAAATAATACGTAACAAAGAGCGAAAGGGTTTGATACTTTCAAGACTGCAAGGGGAAGAGAAATCACATGGTGAAGTCGTGGTTTTCCTTGATGCTCATATGGAGGTTTGTGAGGGTTGGGCAGAACCACTGCTGGAGAGGATTAAGACACGCTCAAGTTGCAGGGGAGGGTTTAGATGGGACATGAGGTAAGACTGGAATGCAATTTATTAAATAACGGGTCGTATGTAACCATTATCCTTGCCGTGCGTGTCACATTTTTGAATAGTATTGTAATTTGTCAATTTATTTTAAAGTAACGTGGGCAGTCGATCTGTTTTATTAGAAAACTAATCTTATATTAATCAAATAAGGCTACATCACGAAATTTGGGAAGAGAGACACAAATAATCCTGGACAAAGATGTTTTCCTCGATGATGAACCCTGGTTAAGGCCGGCTGTGGTACAGACAAACCAAGAATCATAATAGGAGCGTATCTAAGTTTCGAAGTTGTGATTATGCGAATTCTGTTCTAAAGGATGCACTACAACCATGCGGTGTTCCCTACATTACATTTAAAACCATGCGTCATGTTTGCTATGCAAAATGTATGAAGACAGTCATTTTGTTATTTGGTCACACTTCTCGATTATGCTGACACCCTATTTTCTGTTTGAAACGTCAATATGCCAAATATACAATGCTGGTATACCTGTCATGTTCATCTCAACAGGTACGCTTGGTTTCCTCTACCTCCATATTTGAATCAGTTTCGGGGCTCCGACTGGGAACCATTTCCGACACCAGTTCTACAAGGATCCTGCACCGCCGTCAGAAAGTCCTTCTTTAATGCCGTCGGACGTTTCGATCCAGGCCTTGAGATCTTGGGAGATGAACACTTTGACCTATCCTTTAATGTCTGGATTACAGGAGGAAGAATTGAAACAGTACCTTGTTCAAAGGTTGGCCACATCTACAAGGGAAACAAATACAGTTTTGGTTCAAATGAAAGGGAATATACGATTTTCAATAATAGTCCACGTGTATCGGAGGTATGGATGGATGAATATAAATATTTTGTCCGTGCTGCAATCTCCCATATTCTTAATCCACTGCCAGTGTTTACGGAAGCTGATCTGAGGTCTTTACAGGAAAGAAAGAAGTTGCGACAAGAGCGTAATAGTAAGTCATTTGCTTGGTTCTTGAAGAGTATATTTTTGCTTCTCAAGCTCAATCCACACTTCCGATCCACACTGGGAAGGATCTGGTACAATTACAGACATGTGCCCAAAAAAACGAATACCAAACATGGACGTTTATGTTCAGATTTTAGTGACGAAACGAAGTCTGTGAACAATTCTTTGATAAATATTTGGATAAAACTGAAAAACAAATCACCTTGGTGACCTTTGGACTGATTTTCAGAAAAATACACAATATTTAATCTGAACGTTAAAACAGAACACTCAAACATTTATTGTTACGTTTTGAAGTTCTAGGAAGGAAATGATGATAACATTCACACAAAATGTCACCAAACCTAAACACCCAGTCTATATGGGTTGCTAGGTACCCATCTTTCCGAGGCAAGTGAGTTAACTGACTATAAAAGTCCAGTTTTTATCCTTGCCAAACTAGGCTGGTATTATGGAGTTACATTTTGGCTGGACTAACGAGTCTATGCATAGTCCAATCAAAATCGCGCACCAAAATCGAAATCTGGTTCGTAAAGTGTCATGCAGATTTCGGTCGACTGCACGATTTGAAAAGCATGTGCACCGCTAACTCGTTGTCAACCGATATTTTCTATATCTTTTCATGTTAATAATCAAGGTGCTCACAGGATTTGATGCACTTCACGATGAAAGATTCGTTTGATCACAATATAGATCTTGATTATCGATCAGATCGTCTTGACTGGGCGCCACCGTTTCGTTTGAAGCAAATGCAAGTGATACGAGAGGTTGAATCTGATTGGTCAATAGGAGAGGCATAGAAAGGACATTACTCGTAAGAGCCACTGGTGGCGCTACGATCGAGCCCAGGAATTCCAGCCTTGTTCGGCAAGGGTGGAAACTGGACTTTTAAAGTCAGTTAACTCTCTTGCCTCGGGAAGATGTAGGTACCAGATCTGAAAAAAAGGTCTTGAGTTGACATTGTCAGTGGTTTACTATACAATATAATTTTATTGCGTTCCATTAAAGTCAAGGAGTGAGTGAGTTTGGTTTAACGCCGCTTTTAACAGTATTCCAATTATATCGTGGCGTGTCAGCTTAATGTGGGAGGAAAGCCCGAAGAGATGCAGGTCTCAGACGTTTACCACTGAAACCCACGAGCACGGGTATGGTGCTGACAAACCTAGAAACATAATCAGGGCGAACCGGGATTCGAACCCACAATCAAAGGTTCCTGGCATGCCCAAGGGACGCAACCCAGGACAGCGAATCGCGGCGTCTTAGACGACTGGGCCACCCGTGCCCCCTTAAAATGAAGGAAAAGCATTACGATTGAGTGTAATAATTTCAATAGATATTTGCAAATGTATTGTATCATTGAGATATTGAAAAATATGCATAAGTGATTGATATTATAAGCAATGATCAAAGCCATCAAGCAAATCTCCAAACCTGACCATCCGAATATGTCTAATAAAACTTCGGCTAGTTTTTTAAAGTTTGTGATTTGTTGAAATATCTGTGATCAAACTCTTGGTCTGAACAAATTCCTCATGGATCATAGACTGAAGTGTTTCCTTGAGTTTGTACTGTAGGATGGTGGTTGAAAAATCAAACGTTTTGACATAATTGAATTTTATTATATACATATGAATGAAATACTGGAATTTATCAGTGACGATAGATCAAGTTATTAGTCACTAATGACTGATATAAACAAGGTGCCGGAACTACTTTCTCCTGAATCAAAACATTAAAAAGTTATCCCCCTTTGTTTACGTCTGCTAAGCAACAATAAATGGACGAAATGGACACTTCTGACATTGATTTATTGTTAAGTCAAGTTGACATTGATTTTGAAATTTTGAAAAGAAAGAAAACAGCAGATTTGCCAAAGTGACAGTTGAGGATGTGGACCAGTTTCTGGACACTGAGGTAAATCAGAACACTAAAAGAAAGACGGAGCAGAATGTAAGAGTCTTCCAGGAATTTTTGGAGGCCAATCTGGAATTCAGAGAGTTTACAGTCAAGCCTCCGACTGAGCTGAGCAATTATTTGAGCATGTTCATCTTGTCCGTGAAAATGAAAGATGGTGGGGAGTATGAGCCTTCCAGTCTTTGGTCATTCATCAGCTCAATTCAGCGGGTTATGAAAAAGAAAGGGTATAACAAAACAATTGATGATGTAGAATTTTCTAAAATGAAAGAAACCCTCACACTGAAACAAAAGTCTCTAAAATCCCAGGGTAAATGGAATAAACCCAAAGCAGCGGTTGAGTTAAGTGACGCAAATATAGAAGAAATGAATGCTCTTGACAAACTTGGCCCCCAAAATCCCCAATCACTACTTCACTCAATGTGGTTTATTTGTACCATGCATTTTGGGATGCAAACCGGAAATGAATGCCACAATCTTACATGGGGCGATGTTGTCCTACTTACCGATGATGATGGTACAGAGTACTTTCAGTACGACAGTGAGCGGCAGACCAAGACCAGGACTGGAGCAGATGCGAGAAATATGCGGGACACCAAGCCTCGTGCTTATGCAATCCCTCAGACACCAGAGAAAGACCCAGTTGCCTTGTACAAGCTGTACCGGGAGAAGCGACCAGATGCGATGCTCTCTGGCGACACTCCATTCTTTCTTGCCATCAACTACCAAAAACAAAAAAGTGGTTCATGGTTTGAAAAAAATGCCATGGGAATCAACACAATTTATGACATAATGAAAGACATGAAAAGCGGAACAACATTTGAACAAAATGAACGCATAACACCCTTCAGGTAAACATTACATTAATCACGACAGATTCTAAAACATAAATAAAAATATACATAATATGAAACACAATACTGCTTTACAACAGCCATAATTCAACATGTTCAACTGGCTGCAAAACATTAATCATAATTAAAACTTTCAAATTACCCCTTGTTATAATAACCTGAGTAAGAAAGAAAGATTATCATTATTTCTATTAAATATAGCAAACTCAGTCCAAAATTCTGGTTTGGGAAAATATGTCATAATTTCAAATTAAACTGAATACATACATTATTCTCATGCTGATATATGCCCATTGTTTCATTGCAGTGTGAGAAAACATCTGGTGCAGAAACTGAACGACAAGGGCCTCCCCCCGAACCAAATTATGCACACAACGGGTAATATTTGTTTTTTGCAGATCAAAGTGAACATGAATCATTAGGCAAACATGATGAATTTTCTGCAAATTTAACTGCCAGATAATATAGCATATAGTATCCCCACATGAGGACTGCATCGATAAAAATACCACCTGCATGCATTGGAATTATTTATATTTACAGGTAAATTTTAGTATTCTCAAATTTTCACTCTTCTGCAATACCTCATTTGAACACATTGTCCAATATACCTGAAACTAACAATATACCTGAAACTAACAATATACCTGAAACTAACAATATACCTGAAACTAACAATACACTGTATACCTGAAACTAACAATATACCTGAAACTAACAATATACCTGAAACTAACAATACACCTGAAACTAACAATATACCTGAAACTAACAATGTACCTGAAACTAACAATATACCCGAAACTAACAATATACCTGAAACTAACAATATACCTGAAACTAACAATATACCTGAAACTAACAATATACCTTTGTTTGACTAATAACCATTAAAATATCAATTTCTTTTCCTATATGGACTATTTCTTTCAAATGCACATACAATTCCATTATTGTATCAGCATAAACTATCACATTCTAACTTCTAACAGCAGACTGAGGAATTATATTATAATCATGAAATGTTAGCCTACTTACAGTCATATGAGACTACGTACTTTTAATTGATAAATTAATTTATAAAAATAATTATAAATTATATATCGTCATACTCTAATTTAACAGGTCACCAGAATGTGAATTCCATCAACCAGTACAGTCACCTTAATTCCAATCAACAAAAAAACATCTCGCACCTGTTGTCCGACAACACATCAATGGAAATGGGGTCAACAGGTGCGATCTGTCCTACACACCGAGTCGGACCCATCTGCACGGTCAGTCCACCTGCCTCAGATGCCGACTGTATTCAGTCTCAACGGCAGGTGCATAACTTCTCTTCAACTGACAACAAGAACTTCTTGACGAGTCTGATGTCTAGAAATAACATCTATGGCAATGTTAATATCACTCTTGCGCCGGACATGCTTCGCCAGACACTAGGAACAACTGGCGACAGCGAGATGTAACGCCGAGGCGAGAAGCGCCCGCTTGAATTTTCCGAGAATTGAACTTTCCTAATTTAATTCATGACAGCAAGCAACAATGTTTCAGTTAAAATGTTCGGGTTCTATAAATGTGTTTATACTTTCATACTTATCTGTGAGAAAATTTGATCAAATTTTGCGGATTTTGCAAGCCTTGAGAGCGCTCAGCTGATCGTTCGACATGGTCATAGTACTAACTGTTTATGTATTCCTACGCCAATAAAATAATCGCTGTTTGAAAATGATTTCTGTTTTCATTTTGAACAGGAATGTTTAATTATGACAAACAAAAATGTCCACGGAACTTAATACTCGATATGAAATAATATATTTCGCATAACATATATTAACAGGGGTAGTTTTATTCATGAACTATATTCTTTTCTCAAACCCCCTTTATACGGCGGTGGTAAAGGGGCGACAGGGAGAACTTAGTAATTTATCAGACACTGTTTTCGAAAAAATACATAAATTGCAAGTAATAAAAATAAAACATGCATATAATAAATAGAAAATTCAGTCACGAGTGAAAATGTTAGACTCTCCCCACTTCACTTGATGAGATAAAACTGGTATTTGAGAAAACACATTAAATATCCTCTATTATTTAAATTTTAAATATGGTTGGTTGCTTAGTTGGTTGTTTTACGCCACACTCAGCAATATTCCAACTATATGACGGCGGTCTGTAAAAAATCGAGTCTGCACCAGACAATCCAGTGATTGATATCATGACCATCACTCAGTATCCACTCAATTGAGATCGATGACATGCATCAACCAAGTCAGCGAGTCTGTTTGACCACCCGATTCTGTTGAAGACCTATTCTAGCCCGGATCTTCGCGGATCATATTTATCATGTATACGAGAATATCACACACTTGATGGTCGTGGATGGGGTTAAATAAATTATAATTTAATTGTGTTCATTGTGAAAGGGAAGGAAACCGATTATAATTGTGTTTGGTATTAACAATAGATTTCGGCAAATGTGACATTATAATTGATATATGAACATAAATGAATATTAAAACGGATTGGTATTATATGCAATGATCCACGCTGCCTAGCAAATTACAAAACCAATTCATTTGGAGATGTCTTTGGGCTAGTTCTTTAAAGTATATGATGTATTTGAAAATTGATTTTTCAGCATCTGTGAGCAAATCATTCATGCAGCAGGTGGTTTGAATGCTACATCATTATCGGAATTATCAGTCTATTGGTCAGTCATATGAAATCAAGCGAGATGAGAAGTCGAGAGCCGTTGCTTGTTTTGAGTTTGGTGACTATATTTTGTTTCCTACTCACCACGGTAGTGCTACTCGGAACCCTGTCAACAGTGGGCCCTAATGTCAGTAAAAATGATCATCATCTCACGGCTAAGAACGTTTTTTATCCCGAACCGTAAGTACTTGAATTTTTAACGAACTACAATGATCGAGAATTGTTTCAAACTATTGAGTATGCATGCACTCATAGATATTCCAGTTCACCAGAGGTTGCCTGTAAATAATCGAATCTGGCCCAGTTATTGGAATTGTAGGCTGGGATGTTTGTTTGATAGGGACTAACTTTTCAGTTAGCTCTTCAATACATACATTGTCTTACATTTCTTATGATGATGGAAAGGGTTTAGTCGTTTTTGTGTTCTCAAAACACATTATCTTCAGAACTTCCTGCAAGTCCAGTAACGATGTATTTAAGAATTAACTTTCACTTTGTGTGAGTTCATTGGAGTATGAACCTTCCAAGAGTGAGGGCCAAACTGTATGAACGTCGGAGCTTGCGACAATTCTTATAAAATATTTTATCACAATTTCAAAGGATGTAAGCGAAGATCACACAATTTTATTTAGTACGTGTGACTTCATGTTTACACTGACAGCCATATAACAACCAGCTATATCGCGGAGTAAAATAGTTCCTCAAAAAGAGAGGTGACATGGGCGTATGGATGCACAACCTGCTCTTCAGAAACATCTTACGCAGCACATGTGTTCAAATCATATCCTCATTAGATGAGAAATGTCTGTAAAAGCCTACCTCAGTAAGTCAGTCACATGACAGCGCGTTGTAATACATTTACATCAAGTGTTTACGATAAACATGACGGGAGAGATTTCAGAAGTTGTTAATGAACCTGTGGCGGTTACATGTGTAAGTCATCATTGATCAACTGGCCGATCATTGAAAGGTGAATAAAGATGCGTCAAACAGACACTAAGGTAAATTCATAGATTTCTGGAGATGGTCAATATCAGCCAAGGCACGGATTGGGTCGATAATACGATAGTTTAGATGTGCATTTCTTCGTTTGTTCATTAGGATTGTCTGCAGCGAGGATATTCGTGAACAATCATGCAGTCACGCGCTCTGACATTTCCCACTGTATACTGAAACACCGAGACCAATAATAAAGGTTCTAAATGATCAGAGAGAACGCTTATGTATGATTTCGTGCTAGGGAATTCCCAGGGGTTTCCCAAGGAATGTGAAAGTACTCCGTCAGTGTTGACGTCATTTCAAGAACATGATCTCGTGAAAAACGTATGAACGTCAAATTGTGTCGTTCATACACTTTTGAACGCCAATTTCCCGGTCATGTGACCGACCTCTCGTCCAATGGAAAAGCCGTATATCGTGTTAACTTCAAATTTAAAAATTATTATGTTGTGTGAAACATGAGGACGCATATTTGTTTCCTTGTAAGTTCATATTAGAAAAATATCAAATTTTCGGCCCTGAGTTCAATGGGAGCGAATGAATGAATTTGCGAGTTGGATTTTTACGCCAAATTTAGCAATATTATAGCAATGTACACCAGAAAGGGCTTCACCTATTGTAACCATGCAGGAAAAGATATTTGACAGGTAATTATTGATTACTGACAGTATTCATTTTGTTTTAAACTCAGCCTGCTTGCCTGCTTGTTTGTTGTTTAACGCCGCACTCAGTAATATTCCAGCTATATGACGGCGTTCTGTAAATAATCGAGTCTGGACCACACAATCCAGTGATTGACCTACAAAAGATGACAAGGTTCGCATTTTGAATGTGAATCTTTACTGAACATAAGACCGGGAATTTTGACTGTTTATTTCAATCTCATGAGCGGAATAATTCTGTAGTAAGTTAGAGTGTTTTACAATATTCCGAAAGGGGCCCCCGACCCATTTTATAATGACAATAGATACATTAGATATGTGTCTGACTGGAGAAGCCAAGTACAAATGTAAAAACATAAACTGGCTCACTGAAGGGCGTGCTTACGTCGACTGTACTATCCGACTATATCACGAGCACGTGTTTATGAAACACTATCAAAAAGTGATGATACCAGGTGTTCGACAAAGGTGGGCGTATCCTGCCACAACTGTGGCAGCCATCACAACCCATGCAAAGGCATGTCAATTATTCTGAAAAATTGCTATAAAACTATATTTTTGAGATGAGATAGGGTGGTTGCATTATGGAGAATAGGTGGGAGGAGAGTTTCAGTGCTGTTGGGAAATTGTAATAATAGTTTGAGATAACAAACTGTCGGCACTAGTCCGCATAGAAGGGGCAAAAGTGATTTTCGGATTTTTGTATGAAAATTACAAAAAGGGTAAAGTTTCCAATAAGACACAATTGTCTCCCTTTCTCCAGCATAAAATTATTGCTAGAGCACCGAAATGAAATGAACAAAGTGCCATACGATATTGTTAAACTGCTACATTTGATAAAACACTTGATTAAAAATACACCTCTGTTTCCAAAAAGATATAAAGTGACTAATATTGGCAACATCTTGATCAATCTGAGCTGACATAAAACTATATTTAAATGATATTTGTTTACATTAAATGCCAACAGATAATATCCTTATTTGCTTAAGGTAATATTACTAAATAAACCTGCTTCGTATATAACATAATACTCTTGGTTAAGAAACAGATCATCAAGGGGAGGAACAGAATTGGTGCCCATGGGGACACCTACTGGAAGTCCAGTAATTCACATACTGTTTTCTCAAAAAACTTCAGATGCAGTTTGCTTTAATTTTTAACAAACTGTCCTGAACCTTGGAAGATAGCGATGTATCTCTTGTTGAGTTCCAAATGCCCCATGGTTCAAAGAACGAAGCGTTTCTTTCTTGTTGTAAAGTGGTTGACAACTCAAATGTTTTAACATTATCGAACTTATTCTCATAATTCAAAGATGGACATGGTGTCTAATGGGTCCCAGATGTTTATCCTATTTACGAGAGTATTATACACATTGATAATTGACGATCGGATTACATGTGTATTATTTGTTGGGTCAAGAAAGTATCATGTTACATAAAAATAATTTGACTTGAACTAAACTTCTTTATTGTTTTGTTTCTTTCTAAGGAAAACAGAATCAGTGGGACAAAAACCCGCCCTAACATACAAGCAAGTCACAAATAAAAAAAAATCATACAGACTTGCATCTCTTTTACAAAGAATGTTGAAAACTCATCCAAGACTAGCGGATGATTATTTCGGATTCAACGTCACGAGAAGTGACGAGATCCCGGTGACGAGAGACGTGCCTGATGCAAGACCATCTGAATGCAAAAACAGGAATTTCAACTACTCTTCTCTTCCAACATTATCAATCGTCACTCCATTCCACAACGAAGCTCTGACGCCATTATTACGTCATGTTCACGCCATTTTGTCCCGAACTCCGCCACAGCTCCTGATGGAGATAATTCTAGTGGATGATAACAGCACCTTTTCATATCTAGGTGAAGACCTACAAGAATATTTCCAAATCTTGGATTCACGAATTCAAATAATACGTAACAAAGAGCGAAAGGGTTTGATACTTTCAAGACTGCAAGGGGAAGAGAAATCACATGGTGAAGTCGTGGTTTTCCTTGATGCTCATATGGAGGTTTGTGAGGGTTGGGCAGAACCACTGCTGGAGAGGATTAAGAGTCAGCCAGCCATTGTGGTCCAAGCAGACCCGATTCCGATCAATGAACAGACAATTGGTTTGGACACTGGGATTCGTTCAAGTTGCATAGGAGGTTTTGGATGGGACATGCGGTAAGATTGGAATGCAATTTTTTAAATAGCGGGTCGTATGTAATCAATATCCTTGCCGTGCGTGTCACATTTTTGAATAGTATTGTAATTTGTCAATTGATTTTAAATTAACGTGGGCTGTCGATCTGTTTTAATAGAAAAGTAATCTTAAATTAATCAAATAAGGCAAAATTAATCAGTAATTAAGTTACATCACGACATTTGGGAAGAGAGACAAATAATCTTGGACAAAGATGTTTTCTTCGATGAACCCTGGTTAAGGCCGGTTGTGGTACAGACAAACCAAGAATCATAATCAGAGCGTATCTAAGTTTCGAAGTTGTGATAATGCTATTATGTTCTATTCTGTTCATCTCAACAGGTACAAATGGTTTCTTCTACCTCCATATTTGAATCAGTTTCGGGCATCCGAATGGGAACCATTTCCAAACCCAGTACTACAAGGATCCTGCATCGCCGTCAGAAAGTCCTACTTTAACGCCGTCGGACGATTCGATCCAGGCCTTGAGATCTGGGGAGGTGAACACTTTGACCTATCCTTTAATGTCTGGATGACAGGAGGAAGAATTGAAACAGTACCTTGTTCAAAGGTTGGCCACATCTACAAAGGAAACAAATACAGTTTTGGTTCAAATGAAGTGGAATATACGATTTTCAAAAATAATCTACGTGTATCGGAGGTGTGGATGGATGAGTATATATATTTTGTCCGTGCCGCAATCTCCCATATTCTTAATCCGCTGCCAGTGTTTACGGAAGCTGAACTGAGGTCTTTACAGGAAAGAAAGAAGTTGCGACAAGAGCGTAATAGTAAGTCATTTGCTTGGTTCTTGAAGAGTGTCCATACTGAACTGATTGTTCCATCGAAGGAGGATGTGTTTTTTGGAGAAATAAAAAACACAAAGAGTGAGCAGTGCTGGTTTGTATTTGAGGACGATTATATAGGTACAACTGGACAATGTGGCTTCATAATAAAAGAACAAACATTTTCTTTGGATAAGTATGGGAGATTGAAATATCTGGACAGGTGTGTTGGATATGAAGAGTCGACGTTTCTTCTGCGGATCAAAGAGTGTCCATCCAAATCGGAGTCGAAAACATCGATGACGTGGGTACATGCGAATGACAATTTGATGACTGTGTATCATTCGGAGTATATTTGTGCTTATCAAGTTAAATCCACATTTCCGATCCACACTGGGAAGGATCTGGTACAATTACAGACATGTGCCCAAAAAACCGAATACCAAACATGGACGTTTATGTTCAGATTTTAGTGACGAAAGGAAGTCTGTGAACAATTCTTTAATAAATATTTGGATAAAACTGAAAAACAAATCCCCCTGGTGACCTTTGGACTGATTTTCAGAAAAATACAAAATATTTAATCTAAACGTTAAAACAGAACACTCAAACAATTATTGTTACGTTTTGAAGTTCTAGGAAAGAAATGATGATAACATTCACACAAAATGTCACCAAACCTAAACACCCAATCTATATGGGTTGCTAGGTACCAGATCTGACTCAGACTCTTCACAGGAAAAGAGGTCATGAGTTGACATTGTCAGTGATTTGCTTTACACTATAATTTAAATGCGTTCCATTAAAATAAAGGAAAAGCATGACGATTGTGTGTGATATTTTCCATAGATATTTGCAAATGTATTGTAATCATTGAGATATTGAAATATATATATATTATAAGTGATTGATATTATAAGCAATGATCAAAGCCATCAAGCAAGTCTCCGAACGTGACCATCCGAATATGTCTAATAAAATTTCGGCTAGTTTTTTAAAGTTTGTGATTTGTTGAAATATCTGTGATCAAACTCTTGGTCTGTCATATGAAATCAACTGAGATAGGAAGTCGACAGCTGTTGTGGGTATGTAGTGTGGTGACTATATTTTGTTTCCAGGGCCCCGCTCCAAAAAGCGATCTTACCGTTTAGATGATCGTAGATCAGATTCCATAACATTAGCTTATGACAGCCGTAGCGCTTCCATCGCTTTGTGGAATAACCCGTCTGGATTACAAAACAAAACAAGTTCCATAAGGCGGAAAAAACAAATGCCTCGTGGATCATAGACTGAAGTGTTTCCTTAAGTTTGTACTGTAGGATGTTGGTTGAAAAATCAAAAGTTTTGACATAATTGAATTTAATTATACTTCAAATATGGTTGGCTGCTTGGTTGGTTGTTTTACGCCACACTCAGCAATATTCCAGCAATATGACGGCGGTCTGTAAATAATCGAGTCTGCACCAGACAATCCAGTGATTGATATCATGACCATCACTCAGTATCCGATCAATTGGGATCGGTGACATGCATCAACTAAGTCATCGAGTCTGTGTGACCACCCGATTCCGTTAGTCACCTTTTACAGTAAGCATGGGTTGTTGAAGACCTATTCTAGCCCGGATCTTCGCGTGTCTTCAAATATGGAGATAAGTCGATCATATTTATCATATATACGAGGATAGCACACACTTGATAATCGTAGATGGGGTTAAATAAATTATAATTCAATTGTGTTCATTGTGAAAGTGAAGGAAACCGATTATGATTGTGTTTGGTATTTACAATAGATTTCGGCAAATGTGACATTATAATTGATATATGAACATAAATGAATATTAAAATGGATTGGTATTATATGCAACGATCCACGCTGCTCAGCAAATCACAAAACCAGTTCATTTGAAGATGTCTTTGGGCTAGTTCTTGAAAGTATATGATGTATTTGAAAATTGACTTTTCAGCATCTGTGAGCAAATCATTTATGCAGCAGGTGGTTTGAATGCTACATCATTATCGGTTATATCAGTCTGTTGGTCAGTAATAAGAAATCAAGCGAGATGAGAAGTCGAGAGCCGTTGCTGGTATTGAGTTTGGTGACTATATTTTGTTTCCTACTCACCACGGTAGTGCTACTTGGAACCCTGACAACAGTGGGCCCTAATGTCAGTAAAAATGATCATCATCTCAAGGCTAAGAACGTTTTTTATCCCGAACCGTAAGTACTTTGATTTTTTAACAAACTACAATGATCGAGAATTGTTTCAAACTATTGAGTATGCATGCACTCATAGATATTCCAGTTCACCAGAGGTTGCCTGTAAATAATCGAATCTGGCCCAGTTATTGGAATTGTAGGCTGGGATGTTTGTTTGATAGGGACTAATTTTTTAGTTAGCTCTTCAATACATACATTGTCTTACATTTCTTATGATGATGGAAAGGGTTTAGTCGTTTTAGTATAATCAAAACACATTATCTTCAGAACTTCCTGCAAGTCCAGTAACGATGTATTAAGAATTGACCTTCACTTTGTGTGAGGGCCAAACTGTATGAACGTCGGAGCTTGCGACAATTCTTATAATTCTTATAAAAAAATTATCACAATTTCTTACCTCAAAGGATGTAGGCCAAGACCTAAACACAATTTTATTTAGTACGTGTGACTTCATGTTTACACTGACAGCCATACAACAACCAGCTACATCGCGGAGTAAAATAGTTCATCAAAAAGAGTGGTGACATGGGCGTATGAATGCACAACCTGCTCCTCAGAAACATCTTACGCAGCACATGCGTTCAAATCATATCCTCATTAGATGAGAAAGGTCTGTAAAGAACTACCTCAGTAAGTCAGTCACATGACAGCGCGTCGTAATACATTTACATTAAGTACAAGACGTCAAAATGGCCGACACGATAAACGTGACGGGAGAGATTTCAGAAGTTGTTAATGAACCTGTGGCGGTTACATGTGTAAGTCATCATTGATCAACTGGCCTATCATTGAAAGGTTAATTAAGATGCGTCAAACAGACACTAAGGTAAATTCATAGTTTGCTGGAGACCGTCAGTATCAGCCAAAAAAACCGTATGAACGTCAAATTGTGTCAATTTCGCGATCATGTGACCGACCTCTCGTCCAATGGAAAAGCTGTAAATCGTGTTAACTTGATGATGGAAAGTGTTTAGTCGTTTTTCTGTACTCAAAACACATTATCTTCAGAACTTCCCGCATGTCCAGTAACGATGTATTATGTTTTGTGAAACACGAGGACGCATATCATTTTCCATGTAAGTTCATTTTAGAAAAAAATCAAATGGTCGGCCGTGAGTTCAATGAGAGCGAATGAATGAATTTGTGAGTTGAATTTTACGCCAAATTTAGCAATATTATAGCAAGGTACACCAGAAAAGGGCTTCACCTATTGTAACCATGTGGGGAATCGGATCCGGGCCTTTGGCGTAGGCCTAGCGAACGATTTAACCACAAGGCTATTCCACCGCCCCTTATTCAGTCTGAATTGATAAAAGATCATTTACTTTTGTTTAGTTAGTAAGTGCATTATGTTTTAGTAGAACAGTAACATACCAAGTCTTAACAGTGTCTCTCATTATCCAGTATAATATATTTTCCTTCTGCAATGAAAACACCCTGGGTCAATCTGTCAATAGCGTCGACATTACCAATCAGATCGTTTTTTCATGTACCATCGCAATACAACTTTGTCTTTAGACGCCGGAAAAGATATTTTACAGGTAATTATTGATTACTGACAGTATTCATTTCGTTTTAAACTCACCTTGCTTGCCTGCTTGTTTGTTGTTTAACGCCGCACTCAGTAATATTCCAGCTATATGACGGCGTTCTGTAATCGAGTCTGGACCACACAATCCAGTGATTGACCTACAAAAGATGACAAGGTTCGCATTTTGAATGTGAATCTTTACTGAACATAAGACCGGGAATTTTGACTGTTTATTTCAATCTCATGAGCGGGGTATTTCTGTAGTAAGTTAGAGTGTTTTACAATATTCCGAAAGGGGCCCCCGACCCATTTTACAATGACAATAGATACATTAGATATGTGTCTGAGTCGAGAAGCCAAGTAAAAACATAAACTGGCTCACTGAAGGACGTTCTTACGTCGACTGTACTATTCGACTATATCACGAGCACGTGTTTATGAAACACTATCAAAAAGTGATGATACCAGGTGTTCGACAAAGGTGGGCGTATCCTGCCACAACTGTGGCAGCCATCACAACCCATGCAAAGGCATGTCAATTATTCTGAAAAAAAACCTATAAAACTATATTTTTGAGATGAGATAGGGCGGTTGCATTATGGAGAATAGGTGGGAGGAGAGTTTGGGAAATTGTAATAATAGTTTGAGATAACAAACTGTCGGCACAAGTCCGCATAGAAGGTGCAAAAGTGATTTTCGGATTTTTGTATGAAAATTACAAAAAGGATATAGTCTCCAATAAGATACAATTGTCTATCTTTCTCTTACATAAAATTATTGCTAGAGACCCGAAATGAGCAAAGTGCCATACGATATTGTTAAACGGATACACTTGATAAAACACTTGATTAAAAATACACCTTTGTTTCCAAAAAGATATAAAGTGACTAATATTGGCAACATCTTGATCAATCTGAGCTGACATAAAACTATATTTAAATGATATTTGTGTACATTAATTGCCAAACAGATAATATCCTTATTTGCTTAAGGTAATGTAAATAAATATACCTGCTTCGTATATAACATAATACTCTTGGTTAAGCAACAGATCATCAAGGAGGGGAACAGAATTGGTGCCCATGGGGACACCTACTGGATGTCCAGTTATTCACATACTGTTTTCTCAAAAAACTTCAGATGCAATTTGCTTTAATTTTTAACAAACTGTCCTGAACCTTGGAAGATAGCGATGTATCTCTTGTTGAGTTCCAAATGCCCCATGGGTCAAAGAACGAAGCGTTTCTTTCTTGTTGTAAAGTGGTTGACAACTCAAATGTTTTAACATTATCGAACTTATTCTCATAATTCAAAGATGGACGTGGTGTCTAATGGGTCCCGGATGTTTATCCTATGTACGAGAGTATTATCCACATTGATAATCGAGGATCGGGTTACATGTGTATTATTTGTTGGTTGGTTTGTATCATGTTTACATAGAAATAAGGGGCGGTCGGGTAGCCAAGTGGTTAAAGCGTTCGCTCGTCTTGCCGAAGACCTGGGTTCGATTCCCGGCATGGGTACAATGTGTGAAGCCCATTTCTGGTGTCCCCCGCCGTGATATTGCTTGAATGTTGCTAAACGCGGCGTAAAACCATACTCACTCACTCACTCACTCACATAGAAATAATTTGACTTGAACTAACCTTCTTTATTGTTTTGTTTCTTTCTAAGGAAAACAGAATCAGTGAGACAAAAACCCGCCCTAACATACAAGCAAGTCACAAATAATAAAAAATCATACAGACTTGCATCTCTTTTACAAAAAATGTTGAAAACTCATCCAAGACCAGCGGATGATTATTTCGGATTTAACGCCACGAGAAGTGACGAGATCTCGGTGACGAGAGATGTGCCTGATGCTAGACCTTCTGAATGCAAAAACAGGAATTTCAACTACTCTTCTCTTCCAACATTATCAATTGTCACTCCATTCTACAACGAGGCTCTGACGCCATTATTACGTCATGTTCACGCCATTTTGTCCCGAACTCCGCCACATCTCCTGATGGAGGTTATTCTAGTGGATGATAACAGCACCTTTTCATATCTGGGTGAAGACCTACAAGAATATTTCAGAATCTTGGATTCACGAATTCGAATAATACGTAACAAAGAGCGAAAGGGTTTGATACTTTCAAGAGTGCAAGGGGAAGAAAAAGCACGTGGAGAAGTCGTGGTTTTCCTTGATGCTCATATGGAGGTTTGTGAGGGTTGGGCAGAACCACTGCTGGAGAGGATTAAGAGTCAGCCGTCCATTGTGGTTCAAGCACATCCCATTCCGATCAATGACCATACAATTGGTTTGGACACTGGGACACGTGCAAGTTGCATAGGAGGTTTTGGATGGGACATGAGGTAAGACTGGGATGCAATTTTTTAAATAACGGGTCGTATGTAACCAATATCCTTGCCATGCGTGTCACATTCTTGAATAGTATTGTAATTTGTCAATATTTTTTAAATTAACGTTGGCAGTCGATCTGTTAATTACTCAAATAAGGCAAATTAATGAGTAATTAAGTTACATCACGACATTTGGGAAGAGAGACACAAATAATCCTGGACAAAGATGTTTTCCTCGATGATGAACCCTGGTTAAGGCCGGCTTTGGTACAGACAAACCAAGAATCATAATCAGAGCATATCTAAGGTTCGAAGTTGTGATTATGCGAATTCTGTTCCAAAGGATGCATTACAAACATGCGGTGTTCCTTACATTACAATAATTTTTTAATTTGAAGTTTACACGATATACGGCTTTTCCATTGGACGAGAGAGAGAGATAAGTGTATGAACGACACAATTTGACGTTCATACGTTTTTCACGAGACCGTGTTCTTGAAATGACGTAAACACTGACGGAGTACTTTCACATTCCTGGGGAAACCCCTGGGAATTCCCTAGCACGAAAACACACATAAGCGATCTTTCTGATCATTTAGAACCTTTATTCTTGGTCTCAGCTTTTCAGTATACATTGAGAAATGTGAGAGCGTGACTTCATGTTTGTTCACGAATATCCTCGCTGCGGCCTATCTTAATGAACAAACGATGAAATGCACATCTAAACTATCGTAGTGTCGACTCGATCTATGAATTAACCTTAGTGTCTGTTTGACGCATCTTTATTCACCTTTCAATGATCGGCCAGTTGATCAGTGATTACTAACACATGTAACCGCCACAGGTTCATTAACAACTTCTGAAATCTCTCCCGTCACGTTTATCGTGTCGGCCATTTTGACGTCTTGTACTTGATGTAAATGTATTACGATGCGCTGTCATGTGACTGACTTACTGAGGTAGGCTTTTACAGACATTTCTCATCTAATGAGGATATGATTTGAACACACGTGCTGCTTAAGATGTTTCTGAAGAGCAAGTTGTGCATTAATACGCCCATGTCACCTCTCTTTTTGATGAACTATTTTACTCCGCGATATAGCTGGTTGTTGTATGGCTGTCAGTGTAAACATGAAGTCACACGTACTAAATAAAATTGTGTTTAGATCTTTGCCTACATCCTTTGAGGTGAGAAATTGTTCATACAGTTTGGCCCTCACTCTATGAAGGTTCTTACTCCAATGAACTCACACAAAGTGAAGCTCAATTCTTAATTAAAGACCATGCGTCATGTACACTATGCAAAACGTATGAAGACAGTCATTTTGGGCATAGTTATTTGGTCACACTTCTCGATTATGCTATTTTCTATTTGAAACGTCAATATGCCAAATATACAATGCTGGTATACCTGTCATGTTCATCTCAACAGGTACATATGGTTTACTCTACCTCCATATTTGAATCAGTTTCGGGGCTCCGACTGGGAACCATTTCCGACACCAGTACTACAAGGATCCTGCATCGCCGTCAGAAAGTCCTACTTTAATGCCGTCGGACGTTTCGATCCAGGCCTTGAGATCTGGGGAGGTGAACACTTTGACCTATCCTTTAATGTCTGGATGACAGGAGGAAGAATTGAAACAGTACCTTGTTCAGTGGTTGGCCACATCTACAAAGGAAACAAATACAGTTTTGGTTCAAATGAAAAGGAATATACGATTTTGAAAAATAATCTACGTGTATCGGAGATATGGATGGATGAATATATATATTTTGTGCGTGCTGCACTCTCCCATATTCGTAATCCTCTGCCAGTGTTTACGGAAGCTGAACTGAGGTCTTTACAGGAAAGAAAGAAGTTGCGACAAGAGCGTAATAGTAAGTCATTTACTTGGTTCTTGAAGAGTGTCCATACTGAACAGATGGTGCCATCGAAGGAGGATGTGTTTTTTGGAGAAATAAAAAACATAAAGAGTGGGCAGTGCTGGTTTGTATTTGAGGACGATTATATAGGTACAGCTGGACAATGTGGCTTCATAATAAAAGAAAAAACATTTTCTTTGGATAGGTATGGGAGACTGAAATATCTGGGCAGGTGTGTTGGATTTGATGAGTCAACGTTTCTTCTCCGGATCAAAGAGTGTCCATCTAAATCTGAGTCGAAAACATCGATGACGTGGGTACATGCAAATGACAGTTTGATGACTGCGTATTATTCGGAGTATATTTGTGCTATTCAAGCTAAATCCACATTTCCGATCCACACTGGGAAGGATCTGGTACAATTACAGACGTGTGACAAACAAAACGAATACCAAACATGGACGTTTATGTTCAGATTTTAGTGACGAAAGGAAGTCTGTGAACAATTCTTTGATAAATATTTGGATCAAACTGAAAAACAAATCACCCTGGTGACCTTTGGACTGATTTTCAGAAAAATACAAAATATTTAATCTAAACGTTAAAACAGAACACTCAAACAATTATTGTTACGTTTTGAAGTTCTAGGAAAGAAATGATAACATTCACACAAAATGTCACCAAACCTAAACACCCAATCTATATGGGTTGCTAGGTACCAGATCTGACTCAGACTCTTCACAGGAAAAGAGGTCATGAGTTGACATTGTCAGTGGTTTGCTTTACAATATAATTTAATTGCGTTCCATTAAAATGAAGGAAAAGCATTACGATTGTGTGTGATATTTTCCATAGATTTTTGCAAATGTATTGTGATCATTGAGATATTGAAATATATACATATTATAAGTGATTGATATTATAAGCAATGATCAAAGCCATCAAGCAAGTCTCCGAACCTGACCATCCGAATATGTCTAATAAAACTTCGGCTAGTTTTTTAAAGTTTGTGAATTGTTTAAATATCTGTGATCAAACTAGTTGGTCTGTCATATGAAATCAACTGAGATAGGAAGTCGACAGCTGTTGTGGGTATGTAGTGTGGTGACTATATTTTGTTTCCAGGGCCCCGCCCCACACCGTTAAGATGATCGTAACTCAGATTCCATAACATCAGCTTACGACAGCCGTAGCGCTTCCATCGCTTTGTGGAATAACCAGTCTGGATTACAAAACGTTCCATAAGGCGGAAAAACAAATGCCTCGTGGATCATAGACTGAAGTGTTTCCTTAAGTTTGTACTGTAGGATGTTGGTTGAAAAATAAAAAGTTTTGACATAATTGAATTTAATTATACTTCAAATATGGTTGGCTGCTTGGTTGGTTGTTTTACGCCACACTCAGCAATATTCCAGCAATATGACGGCGGTCTTTAAATAATCGAGTCTGCACCAGACAATCCAGTGATTGATATCATGACCATCACTCAGTATCCACTCAATTGGGATCGGTGACATGCATCAACCAAGTCAGCGAGTCTGTGTGACCAACCGATTCTGTTAGTCGTCTTTTACAGTAAGCATTGGTTGTTGAAGACCTATTCTAGCCCGAATCTTCGCGGGTCTTCAAATATGAAGATAAGTCGATCATATTTATCATATATACGAGGATAGCACACACTTGATAATCGTAGATGGGGTTAAATAAATTATAATTCAATTGTGTTCAATGTGAAAGTGAAGGAAACCGATTATGATTGTGTTTGGTATTTACAATAGATTTCGGCAAATGTGACATTATAATTGATATATGAACATAAATGAATATCAAATGGATTGGTATTATATGCAATGATCCACGCTGCCCAGCAAATCACAAAACCAATTCATTTGAAGATGTCTTTGGGCTAGTTCTTTAAAGTATATGATGTATTTGAAAATTGACTTTTCAGCATCTGTGAGCAAATCATTTATGCAGCAGGTGGTTTGAATGCTACATCATTATCGGTTATATCAGTCTGTTGGTCAGTAATAAGAAATCAAGCGAGATGAGAAGTCGAAAGCCGTTGCTTGTATTGAGTTTGGTGACTATATTTTGTTTCCTACTCACCACGGTAGTGCTACTTGGAACCCTGACAACAGTGGGCCCTTATGTCAGTAAAAATGATCATCATCTCAAGGCTAAGAACGTTTTTTATCCCGAACCGTAAGTACTTTGATTTTTTAACAAACTACAATGATCGAGAATTGTTTCAAACTATTGAGTATGCATGCACTCATAGATATTCCAGTTCACCAGAGGTTGCCTGTAAATAATCGAATCTGGCCCAGTTATTGGAATTGGAGGCTGGGATGTTTGTTTGATATTTGATATTTTGTTTCCTACTCACCATGGGAGTGCTACTTGGAGCCCTGTCAACAATGGGTAAAAATTATCATCGTCTCAAGGCTAAGAACGTTTTTTATTCTGAACCGTAAGTACTTGGACTTTTAACGAACTACAATGATTGAGAACTGTTTCAAGCTATTGAGTTTGCATGACGCAATATTTCAGCTGACCAGAGCTGATTAATTTATAGTTAGCTCTTCAACACATACGCTGTCTAACATTTCTCGTGAGTGAGTGAGTGAGTGAGTGAGTGAGTGAGTGAGTGAGTGAGTTGGGTTTAACGCCACTTTTAACAGTATTCCAGTTATATTACGGCGTGTCAGTTTAATGTGGGAGGAAAGCCCGAAGTGATACAGGTCTACCTCTTCGGTGAAACCCACGAGCACGGCTATGCTGCTTACAAACCTAGGGACATAATCGGGGCGAACCGGTATTCGAAGCCAAGGGACGCAATTCTGCACAGCGAATCGCGGCCCCTTAGACGACAGGGCCACCCGTGATGGTGGAATATGTGTAGAGTCGTTTTTCTGTACTCAGAACACATTATCTTCGGAACTTCCTGCATGTCAAGTAACGATATATTATGTTGAAACATGAGGATATATTTTTTCCATGTATTTTCATATTAGAAAAATATCAAATGGTCGGCCCTGAGTTTAATGAGAGCGAATGAATGAATTTGTGAGTTGGATTTTGTGCCAGTTTTAGCAATATTAAATCTTTTCCATGTTCTTTCGACAACATATGTTCATATTAGAAAAACATCAAATGGTCGGCCCTGTGTTCAAAGCAAATGAATGAATTTGTGAGTTGGATTTTACGCGAAATTAAGCAATAGTATAGCAATAACACGGCAGGGTACAATATAAAGGGTTTCAATTATTTTTCCCATATGGGGAATCGAATCCGGCCCTTCATCGTGACGAGCGTACGATTTAACCACTAGGCTACCCCAGTGCCCCTTGTTCAATCGGAATTGATAAAGGATTTATTATAGTTCAGTAAATAAGTAAGCGCATTATGTTTTAGTTTCTGTAGAACAGTAACACACCTAGTCTTAACCGAACATTTAAACACAGTACATTAAGAGTTGGTGCTACACTTTGAATCCGTTTTGTTTAAATAAAGCATTGCATTTGAATAGACGGGCTGATCACCAGGTTATCAGTGTATGGACTATTAAAGGACAGCAGCCGCCCATAAACATTTTTTTCTCAAAATCATCCAACTCAGTTACACAAGCCAAACGAATGAAGGTCTAGATAACATTATCTCTCATTATCCAGTGTAATATATGTTCCTTCTCCTTCTATGTAGCTGGAAACAAGCGTTGAAATTACCATTCGGATCCTTATGTCGCCTCCCGTCGTACTACAACTCTGTAATAGACTCAGGAAAACATATTTAACGGGTAAAGATTGATTAATAACAGTATTCATTTGTTTTAAACTCACCTTCAAAATATAGACTGGGTCTGCCATTTTTAATATGAACCTGTGTCGAATTTCATACGAGGCATTTTATTGTTTATTTCGATCTCATGATGGAGGGGAATTCTGTACTAAATTAGTGACTGAATTTATTTTTTTTTAAACCCAAAAGGTCAAACCTTATGACCTTGATCCCCATTATCTCGAACGTACTGATATATAGAACCTGTTCTCCGGTCCCGACCGTCTTGCTGTATAATGCTCATGCTCGGTATCTCTAATGTCCGGATATGTCGAAGTAACAACACGGTCCTGCTAGGCTCGAGATAACGGGGTTCGACTGTAGTTTTGGATAAGAGACTGTCGGCACATCTCGGCATAGAAGGGCCATTTCAAACAAAGGTGATAAAAGACAAAGTCTACCTTCTCTACTCAGACTCATTCGTCTGTCGTTCTCTTTCATCAAAATTATGACTAGAGCACCGAAAAGATCAAAATGTCATACGATAAATATTTAACAATTACTTTGGATAAATAACTTTCAAAATGAATACTGGCTTTCAATGAGGTATACAATTCTAATTTAGGATATTGTTGTTGATTCTGTTGATTGATATCAGTACACCTGTTTGTAAAAAGATGTTAAATGACTAATCATTTCAACACCTTGATCAATCTGAACTGTATCTAAATGCTATGTTTTTACATGAAATCCCCAAAACATAATATCCTTATTTACAGAAAGTACTTGATACAAATACACCTGCTTCAGATATAACATTACACTCTTGATACTGAAATATCTGAAGCAGATATGTCTGTTATCACATTAGACTTTTGATAATACCCGTGAAGATCCGGGGTAGAACAGGTCTTCAGCAACCCATGCTTGTCGTAAGATGCGACTAACGGGATCGGATGGTCAGGATCGCTGACTTGGTTGATGCATGTCATCGTATCCGCCCAATCGCGTGGATCGATGCTCATGATGTCAATCACTGGATTGTCTGGTCCAGACACGATTATTTACAGACCGCCGTCATATATCTGGAATATTGCTGAGTGCGGTGTTAAACAACCAACAAACAAACTTCAGAGGACGTTTGGTTTGGTTTTAACAAATTGTCCCGCATCTTTGAGAATAGTGATGTACCTGTTGCCACTGTGTTCAGTAAACGAATCTATGAAAGATTTATAATTAATTCTGTCACGTCAAAGCAACCATTATCCCACAAGACAAATTTGAGGAAACACTTCATTCCCCTTATATTTATGTAACGGTTTGGATGTACAAAGTATCACGTTTCCACAGGCAAATTATTAATTTCCTCCAACTTTAATACTTTATTTGTTTCTTTCTTTCTAAGGGAAACAGAATCAGTGATACGCGATTATTCCTTACCCGTCCACACATATAAGCAAGGAACAATTGATGCTAAGAAATCATACAGACTTGCATCTCTTTTACAAAAAATGTTGAAAACTCATCCAAGACAAGCGGATGATTATTTCGGATTTAACGTCACGAGAAGTGACGAGATCTCGGTGATGAGAGACGTACCTGATGCTAGACCATCTGAATGCAAAAACAGGAATTTCAACTACTCTTCTCTTCCAACATTATCAATTGTCACTCCATTCTACAACGAGGCTCTGACGCCATTATTACGTCACGTTCACGCCATTTTGTCCCGAACTCCGCCACATCTCCTGATGGAGGTAATTCTAGTGGATGATAACAGCACCTTTTCATATCTGGGTGAAGACCTACAAGAATATTTCAGAATCTTGGATTCACGAATTCGAATAATACGTAACAAAGAGCGAAAGGGTTTGATACTTTCAAGACTGCAAGGGGAAGAAGAAGCACGTGGAGAAGTCGTGGTTTTCCTTGATGCTCATATGGAGGTTTGTGAGGGTTGGGCAGAACCACTGCTGGAGAGGATTAAGAGTCAGCCAGCCATTGTGGTCCAAGCACATCCCATTGGGATTAATGACCATACAATTCGCTTAGACACTGGGGAACCTTTACGGTCCACGGGAGGTTTTGGATGGGACATGAGGTAAGACTGGGATGCAATTTTTAAAATACAAAGTCATATATAACCAATATCCTTGCTTTGTGTGTCACCTTTGGTGGAATATTATACTATGTCAAATTATTTGCAATTAATTTGCAGCCCATCTGCAATAATGGTGACATTATGTTCAATTAAGAAAATGAAGTGAGTGAATATGGTTTTACGCCGCTTTTAGCAATATTCCAGCAATATCACGGCACGGGACACCAGAAATTGGCTTCACACATTGTACCGATGTCAAGAATCGAACCCGGGTGTTCAGCATGGCGTGCGAACGCTTGAACCACTAGGCTGCCCGATCGCCCCAAAGAAAATGAAGCATGTGAGTGACTATTTCATATTTTAGTGACGACCACAGTAATGCAGATGAAAAACGTGTTCCTTAATGGTGAAACACGATTATGGTACTAAGAAGACAAGAATAAAACTCAGAGTGAATCTGGGGTTCGAATTTGCTATAATCCTATTCTGGTGTAAGGGACGCAAATCTGCACAATACATTTGGGGATCAACCACAGTTTTAAAGACCATACGTCCTGTATGGTATGCCAAATGAATGAAAACAGTTGTAGGGTTTGATAATAGTTATTTAGTCACCTTTTCGTTTTGCTTGCACCTGATGCTACATTGTAAAGATAAAAATGCCAAATATGCAATGCTGGTACACCTGTCATGTTCATCTCAACAGTTACGCTTGGTTTCCTCTACCTCCATATTTGAATCAGTTTCGGGCATCCGACTGGGAACCATTTCCCACCCCAGTACTACAAGGATCCTGTATCGCCGTCAGAAAGTCCTACTTTAATGCCGTCGGACGTTTCGATCCAGGTCTTAAGATCTGGGGATGTGAACACTTTGACCTATCCTTTAATGTCTGGATGACAGGAGGAAGAATTGAAACAGTACCTTGTTCAGGGGTTGGCCACATCTACAAAAAAAACAAATACAGTTTTGGTTCAAATGAAAGGGTGCATACGATTTTGAAAAATTATCTACGTGTATCGGAGGTGTGGATGGATGAATATAAATATTTTGTCCGTGCTGCAATCTCCCATATTCGTAATCCTCTGCCAGTGTTTACGGAAGCTGAACTGAGGTCTTTACAGGAAAGAAAGAAGTTGCGACAAGAGCGTAATAGTAAGTCATTTGCTTGGTTCTTGAAGAGTGTCCATACTGAACAGATTATTCCATCGAAGGAAGATGTGTCTTTTGGAGAAATAAAAAACACAAAGAGTGAGCAGTGCTGGTTTGTATTTGAGGACGAGTATGTAGGTACAACTGTACGATGCGACCTCATAATAAAAGAACAAACATTTTCTTTGGATAGGTATGGGAGACTGAAATATCTGGACAGGTGTGTTGGATATGATGAGTCGACGTTTCTTCTGCAGATCAAAGAGTGTCCATCCAAATCTGAGTCGGAAACATCGATGACATGGGTACATGCGAATCACAATTTGATGACTGCGTATCATTCGGAGTATATTTGTGCTTCTCAAGCTAGATCAACATTTCCGATCCACACTGGGAAGGATCTAGTACAATTACAGACATGTGCCCAAAAAAACGAATACCAAACATGGAAGTTTATGTTTGAATTTTAGTGACGAGGGAAAGACTTTGAACGATTCTTTGATAAATATGTGGATAAAACTGAAAAGCTAAATATCATCGTGGTGACCTTTGGAATGATTTTCAAGAACATACAAGATGATTAACCTTAATGTTTAAACGGGATATTCAAAAAATTACTTTTTCATTTTGAAGTTCTAGGAAAGAAATGTTGATAAAATTCACACAAAATGTCACCACGCCTGACCACCTTATCTATTTGGTCCCCTCTAACGACCAGCATAGGTTGCTTGGCACCAATTCTAATCCGGGATCCCGGTAAAATAATGCAACGAGTTAATGTTTTCAATTGTGTTCTATTAATTGTAATTGAATTAAATTGTGAAAATGATAATGACTTTGTTTATTATTTTCAATATGTTTCTGACAATGTAAATCCGCTGCATTGAAATTTGAATGAATGAGTGTGTAACGGTGCTGTGCATAGCATTTCTTTTATATCTTGGCGTGTCAGCTTTACGTCGGAGAAAAGAATGAAGTGATGCAGATCTTTGACGTGTTCCTCTTTGGTGAAAACCACGAGCATGGGAATGGTATTGACAAAGCTTGAACCTTAGTAACTAAATTCATGTTGTCATTAATACATAAGCTTACGAGTTACCCCTGAGATTGAATCGAAAAATAACCTCGCCATGATTACAATGGAAACGATTCGGTGAAATACGACAAAAATATAACAGGGTGTTAAATTAGTATTGAAATATTTCTTTTCAACTAAACATTAATACTTTATTCATGTTCACAATTTCATAATTTCACAAAATAAGTGACGTTAGATTGTAAAACGGCTACGATTTGTGAACGTGAAATTTAAGGTAACTTCCAGAACATTCTATTTCGTATATTCATGTATGTTTCTATTCCGAACAACATGAACAATGGTCCTAAAGCTATAGTACTGAAATGGGATATAAACCTTTTGTGATCCTCTTTAGGGGTTTCAAACCTAGATTGAAACCTGTAAATTTTATTCAGATCGAGAGCGATGGCGTGAGGTTTCAAATTTTTAAAAAAACAAATACTTTTATAAAATCACCTATCCCAGATATCCTATAAACATTATGCAAGCTGTCATTCCTAGATAAAATATAGCATCCCTTGCAATATTTATTTGTGAAGTACACAACACTAGAATGACGTCATAATGTAACCCCAAAATTCAAGTGTGTTTTCGCCTAACGCATATTCACACATTTGTTTAGAATAATCTAGGACACCCCAAAACATATATTTTACCCATGAGGCGAATCAAACAATGTTTGTCGTTATGGGAAACTGTTTTAATCTTTTATATTCCATTCTAATCTAAGTAAATGTGAATATAAATGTCAACGCCAGAGAAAAACTAGTCTCGATTATTCGAGTGAGTGAGTATGGTCTTAAGCCGCTGTTAGCAATATTCCAGCATTATCACGATGGAGGACACCAGAAATGGGCTTCACACTTTGTACCCATGTCGATAAGCGAACGCTTTAACCATTAGGCTACCCGACCGCCCCTCTCGATTATTCGACGAAACAGATATCAATTTTATTGATTTGATGCAAGTAAAAACTATATGTAAATTTGGAATTACGTCTGTTGTGTTAAAGTGTAGACATTAATATATGTTATGTTATGTTATGTTATGTTATGTTATGTTATGTTATGTTATGTTATGTTATGTTATGTTATGTTATGTTATGTTTGCCTCAGAATAACCTAGAATAGCGCAATCGTTAATTTCACAACACCGTATCGATCATCTGTACATTTATCTGAGCTTCAGAAGATCTTTCAATCAACCAAGTTAGCGAGCCAGACCACCCGATCCCGTTTACGACAAGCAAATTCCCCTTTACGGCAAGCATGGGTTGCTGAAGACCTATTCTAACCCGGATGTTAACGGGTCTCAAAATTTATTCTGAAAGTATCTGAAACGTTTCGGTTCAATACCCAGCTGTTGAGAAGTTACCGATGTTTTCCGCTGACAACTGTCAATTTATCATATTATATATACGAAGTGGTCTGGATTAAAATGCATATGACGTCTGTCGCATCCGCTCTTTTCATTTACTCATCAATAAAGTGAAATGTTAAAATGTACAATCGAATATGTGCCGTGACCTATTGGTGGTGCACTGGTTTCTTTGGTGTTGCCATTTTCTTTTGCAACAGCTTGGAATTCAGTTCGATGTATTGGTATCGATTAGTCATGACTATTTCATGAGAGATGAACACTTTCAGCATGATATCATGCACACCATTGTATTTAAAGTGGTAAGAAATGAAAAATGGGATCATGAGGGGTTAATATTAATTTATTTCATTAACTCATGCAAAACACGCGAGCCGTAACATATATTTCCCGCCACCTCTCTAAGTATAGCCGTTGTCACCGCCCTCGCATTCGCCACTCAGCACTGTTTAGTATTGCCCCTGGTCCTAACCCTCGCCCTCGTTTCAGTCAAGTATCTCCCTCGTCCCAGTAATGTATTGCCTTGGCCCTAACCCTCGCCCTCGTTACAGTCAAGTATCTCCCTCGTCCCAGTAATGTATTGCCTTGGCCCTAACCCTCGCCCTAGTTTCAGTCAAGTATCTCCCTCGTCCCAGTAATGTATTGCCGTGGCCCTAACCCTCGCCCTCGTTACAGTCAAGTATCTCCCTCGTCCCAGTAATGTATTGCCGTGGCCCTAACCTTCGCCCTCGCTACAGTCAAGTATCTCCCTCGTCCCAGTAATGTATTGCCGTGGCCCTAACCCTCGCCCTCGTTACAGTCAAGTATCTCCCTCGTCCCAGTAATGTATTGCCGTGGTCCTAACCCTCGCCCTCGTTACAGTCAAGTATCTCCCTCGTCCCAGTAATGTATTGCCGTGGCCCTAACCCTCGCCCTCGTTACAGTCAAGTATCTCCCTCGTCCCAGTAATGTATTGCCGTGGTCCTAACCCTCGCCCTCGTTACAGTCAAGTATCTCCCTCGTCCCAGTAATGTATTGCCGTGGCCCTAACCCTCGCCCTCGTTACAGTCAAGTATCTCCCTCGTCCCAGTAATGTATTGCCTTGGCCCTAACCCTCGCCCTCGTTACAGTCAAGTATCTCCCTCGTCCCAGTAAATTATCGCCCTCGCCCTTGCCTTCGCTCTCAACAACAGCCGTCGTCCCAAAGTATTGCCGTTTGCAAGGTCCTCACCCTCACTGACCCAAACATTGTGGTCCACGAATATAAAACGTCAATACCAGAGAATAACCAGTCGAAACAGATGACAAAATAACCGTGAAATGTATATGGTTGGATCAGTGTTGACACCAGGTGTGTCAGTGATGACACCAGGTGTGTCAGTGATGACACCAGGTGTTCCCCAAAGGAGTAAGCATGTCCTACACTACCGGTAGCACCCGGCACACCTGACATAAACGCGAGTCAAACACATTCACTCTGGAAATGTGGAGCGTACGAGATGCTTTGAATGTGTACCAGACAGGTAAATAAAATCGACGAAGTCCTTTTCATAATCGAAAGGAAATATCTGCTAAAAACAGACTCAATTGTACCAACCACTATGAAATAGTAAGACAAGTAAGACAACATACAGCAATTATTTTCATGAAGTTTTCTTTGGTATACTTTGACGCCCCATCTGTATATGGTTCTTTTTTGTCATACGCCAAATAAACAATCGTTCTGTTGAAGAAAAACCAGCAGAAGTTGAACAGACGTATTCAGCATAGGTATTACCCAACATGGGTTGAATAAGTGGCAAAGCAATGAGGATATCGTTTTACAGTTAACACATTGTTTAACACATTGAAGGCCTGCAGTGGCATAGCAATGAGGATATCGTTTTACAGTGAACACATGTTTAACATATTGAAGGCCTGCAGTGACATAGCAATGAGGATATCGTTTTACAGTTGACACATGTTTAACATATTGAAGGCCTGCAGTGGCATAGCAACGAGGATATCGTTTTACAGTTAACACATTGTTTAACACATTGAAGGCATGCAGTGGCATAGCAATGAGGATATCGTTTTACAGTTAACACATGTTTAACATATTGAAGGCATGCACTGGCAAGGTACTGAGGATATCGTTTTACAGTTAACACATTGTTTAACACATTGAAGGCCTGCAGTGGCATAGCAATGAGGAAATCGTTTTACAGTTAACACATGTTTAACACATTTAAGGCATGAAGTGGCATAGCAATGAGGATATCGTTTTACAGTGAACACATGTTTAACACATTTAAGGCATGAAGTGGCATAGCAATGAGGATATCGTTTTACAGTTAACACATGTTTAACACATTTAAGGCATGAAGTGGCATAGCAATGAGGATATCGTTTTACAGTGAACACATTGTTTAACACATTGAAGGCCTGCAGTGGCATAGCAATGAGGATATCGTTTTACAGTTAACACATGTTTAACACATTGAAGGCATGCAGTGGCATAGTACTGAGGATATCGTTTTACAGTTAACAAATTGTTTAACACATTGAAGGCCTGCAGTGGCATAGCACTGAGGATATCGTTTTACAGTTAACACATGTTTAACACATTTAAGGCATGAAGTGGCATAGCAATAAGGATATCGTTTTACAGTGAACACATTGTTTAACACATTGAAGGCCTGCAGTGGCATAGCAATGAGAATATCGTTTTACAGTTAACACATGTTTAACACATTTAAGGCATGCAGTGGCATAGTACTGAGGATATCGTTTTACAGTTAATACATTGTTTAACACATTGAAGGCCTGCAGTGGCATAGCAATGAGGATATCGTTTTACAGTTAACACATGTTTAACATATTGAAGGCATGAAGTGGCATAGTACTGGGGATATCGTTTTACAGTGAAGACATTGTTTAACACATTGAAGGCATGCAGTGGCATAGTACTGGGGATATCGTTTTACAGTTAACACATTGTTTAACACATTGAAGGTATGCAGTGGCATAGCAATGAGGATATCGTTTTACAGTTAACACATTGTTTAACACATTGAAGGCATGCAGTGGCATAGTACTGGGGATATCGTTTTAAAGTTAACGCATTGTTTAACACATTGAAGGCATTGAAGGCATGCAGTGGCACAGTACTGGTACAAAAAGTAAGTGAGAAGCAATATTCTAGTCATGGCACAGCGGGGACACCAAACTTGAACTTGAGCATGTTGTTTTGTTCTGTTACAAAACGAGTGTCGCAATTATTGTAATTTTCGAACGATAGCGAGGAAAATACAAAATCATGATTTTAATTGCGTAAAATCTATTCATACACACTAATAATTATCTGTTTTGAGGATTATGTGTCGTGTTTATTGAAAACTGTGTC